TTTGTGCTTTGGAAAACTGTGAAACAGGGTCACCAAGTTCCATTCTCCATCGTTTTATTATGTTTTCAATGAAGCGATTGAACCTGCACAGAACCCAGACAGACAGACATCACAAGGCCACTTTGTGGAAAGGCAGCTTCTTTAGAACCTGGAAGCTGAGGCTCCTCTTCCGTGTTTATGGATTTGGGGGCCAGTGCGTCGTTCCCTTAGTTTAAAGAACCAAAGGGACCAAAACCCTTAAGCAAAATACTTAGAACCCTTTTGCCTGGAGAAAAAAAAAAAAAAATTAAATAACGGGTTCTTTTAGCTATTGAGAAGCCAGCCTAAGAATGTCATAGTTATTTGAAAACCAGGCCACGGATGCGGAGGGGATTTTATAAGATGATGTCATCATTTTCTACCTGGCTGACAACCTAATGCCTGTCAGTCCCAATCTTTGAAATGGAATCAAACACAGCCTGTTCATTGTTTGGCTGAAGTTTAATTCAGAGAAAGTCTTTTCTTTTCTTTCTTTCTTTTTTTTTTTTTTTTGAGAAAGTGTTTCTTATTTTTAATTTTTGTCTGGTAATCCTTTGGTCCTCCTGATGGAAATTTTAGTAGAAAGTTTTACCATATATTTTATACTGTAGTCGACTTAGTTAATTGCAAGCGCTAAAGAAACCAAGATAAAAAGAAGGACATGTTTTTGCTATTGCCTTTGCTCACTACTGCATATTTGAAAACATCTTGTGAGTGTGAGTGCTAGGATGGCAGATGTCAGGTTGAGCAGTATTTCTTCTTCACATTTTGACTCGTGATATATCGAACACACAACCTCACTGTATTGTGTAGTATAAAAAAATCCTTTTTCAAACCTACTCCATTTTAACGATTATGGATATTAGTTTGCCTTGTGATTTTGTCATTAATTTGCTTTTTCTATGTAATCCAGAATATTTCTTCTTAATATTCTTTTATAGCTGCCTCAAGAATGATTCATACCTTATAAAATTGTCTTGAATATAGGTAGTGCTGTGTTAACAATATTTCAATTGCTTTGCCCAGACCTCTGAACAATTTCCTGATTCACCTCCTGTTACCTATCTTACTACTTCTCAGCTTCAAAGAAAGAACACCAAAAATCTATTTGATAAAAGACCCTTCACCTGCTGTAACCATGTAGAATCCAGAAGTTATCATTTTGGCCCCAAATCTATTTCAATCCCTAAGTTGTCCATTTGCTATTATCGCGAACTGAATACTATAGACTGTTTTTCTGTGGTGTTTTTATCTTCCTATGTCCAAAAATTCCTTGACACTCTTCAAAAGAACGTGCGAAGAACTTAATCCCTTCTAATGAATAGAACATTGCAGAAGTGACGTGTGACTTCTAAGGCTAGGTCGTAAAAGATGTTGTTGCTTCTGATTTGCTTCCTCTGAGGTCGGTCCCTCAGGGATAAACTAGCATATTGTAAGGACAGTCTCCACAGTCCGTGTGGAGGGGAACTGAGGGCTTGCAGTCATAGCCCCAGCAATGTGCCAGCCGTGTGTGTGTGTGTGTGTGTGTGTGTGTGTGTGTGTGCTAGCCTGGAAGGGGATCTCCAGCTTCCGTCAGCCTTTAGATGGTAGCCTGAGCTGACATCTGTCTGACACAAGCCCGTGAGATACCCTGAGCCAGAACGACCAGCTAAGTTGTTCCAGAATTCCCAGCTTACAAAAATGATTTCAGATTGTAAATACTGTTATTTTATGTCTCAAAGTTTTGGGGTCATTGTTTGTGCAACAATTGATAGCTATTCCATCACTTTTCCCACATTCACTTCTTTGCCAATATCAGAAGAATATTTAAGTCTTGTCTTCTTGCTTTGATGTGATTTTGGTATCTGTCCCTTCTTTGACATGTGATTGCCATGTTACCCTCAATTTAGTTCAGACTATCCCTTCCCAGATGGCTGCAGTGTTAACCTTTTAACCAGTCTCCCTGATTTCCTTCTTCAGTCTCTGTAGTACACCTATAGATTATTTTTCTCTGAAACCTACATGGATACCATACATTTCTTCTGCTCAAAACAAACAAACAAACAAACAAAAAAACAAAGAAAACCCCAAAACTAGAATTTTCCCATTTGCCTTCCAGATAAAACCTTGTGTTTGTTTGTTAGTGTGGTATATTCGATTCTCATTCAGAATTATTCACCCCTCCTCCCTTGGTTTTGCTATGATTTCATCTGAGACTTGTTTTGGAATTGTGATGGGCAGAGTATACTTTCCACACCTTGCTAGTGGGCCTGGCCACATGACTGACTTTGGCAATAGAATTGTAGCAGACACGACCAAGTGGAGGCATGAATGCACTTAGGTTGCTGGGTTTGCCTAATTGCATTTCTGCCACTGCCGTGAGACGCACGTGGCCCAGCTAGACTGCGGATCCAGGGAGGATGAGAGAAATGTGGAGCAGATGTGAGCCCGACACAGGGTGGAGAGCGCAGCCCGGCCAGACCTGTGGCGTGAAGCAGAGCTACCTACCTGTGCCCACTCTAGATTGGTCAACACTCAGCCAACCCAGTGAGAATAAAGAATTTTTTTTTCTTTTTTTTTTTAAGATTTTATTTATTTATTTGACAGAGAGATAGACAGAAGAGCACAAGCAGAGGGAGTGGCAGGGGGAGAGGGAGAAGCAGGCTCTGCACTGAGCAGGGAACCCGATGCGGGACTCGATCCCAGGACCCTGAGATCATGACCTGAGCCGAAGGCAGACGCTTAACCATCTGAGCCACCCAGGCGCCCAAATAAAGAATTGTTTTAAGCCACTGAGGTTTTGGAGTGGTTTATTATGCAGGAAGCTCTGTTTACTTTAGCTCCTTCTCATCTTTTCAAATATATCATTTGTTTCTGTTTATGAATCCCTGTTTGGTTCATTTCCTAAACACACTTGCCCATTTCTGTTGACACAGCTTTTCCATTTTTTTCACATATTCTTTATGGTCTTTTCAATGATAATATTTGCTAGGTTACTAATAACTTATTAAGCTGTAGTATTATCACTTTAATGACAGCCTGATAGAAGCAATATTGTTTTCACTTTAAAGGTGAGAAAGTTGTGCCTTAAAAAGGTGTTTTAAAACTTGTCCAAATTCACATGGTAAATAAATCAAGAATGATATTTAAGTTCAGGACTGTGTGATCCCAAAATCAATACTCGTAACTAAGATTCTATATTCTTATTTTAGCCCTAATGCTTTCTTTTTGACAACTCTGGTCCATAAATTATGCTAAAAGTTTTCAACTCCAAATACACTTTATTTTTCCAGCACTAATCATTTTTATAATCATTTTGAATGGTTTTTTCCTTTAGCATTTTGTAGTTAATATTGCACATTACAATCTTTTATTCTATTCAGTTCTCACAATCTCTTTTTGAAGAATGAGTGATTATTTTCTCCATGAGGAAAATGAGAATCAGAGGTTGAATAATTTGGTCCTGGTCATTCAGCTATATATGAAAGAGAGCTGTGATGGCTGAATTAGGTCTCCCTCCTGCTTCCCAAATTCAAATGTGGAAGCCCTAATCCTCAATGTGATGGTATTTGGAGATAGGGCCTTCTGTTTGGTAATTAAGTTTTTTTTTTTTTTTTTTTTAAAGATTTTATTTATTTATTTGAGAGAGAGGATGAGAGGAGAGAGAGAGCACATGAGAGGGGGGAGGGTCAGAGGGAGAAGCAGACTCCCTGCTGAGCAGGGAGCCCGATGCGGGACTCGATCCCGGGACTCCAGGATCATGACCTGAGCAGAAGGCAGTCGCCTAACCAACTGAGCCACCCAAGCGCCCCGGTAATTAAGTTTAAATGAGGTCATAAGGGTAGGGCCTTAACCCCATAGAACTGGTGTCCTTATAAGAAGAGGAAGAGACACCAGAGCACTCTCTCTCTGTGCACACAGAGGAAAAGCTGTGTGAAGACATAATGAAAAGGTGGCTGTCTACAGCCAACAAGAGAGGTCTCATCAGAAATAAATCCTGATGTCATTTTGCTCTTGGAGTTCCAGCCTCCAGAACTGCAAGAAAATAAATTTCTGTTGTTTGAGCCATCCACTCTGTGATATTTTGTTTTAGCAGCCCAAACAGCCTAATATAAGAGCTAAGGTTTTCACTCCCAATGTCTCTGTCCTTAGCTTCTTACATTATTCTACATTATTTTTATCATTAGCTCTCAGAGGACAGTGACAATAGTTTTGTATCCTCCAGCGTATTTGTATAGTATATCCTTAGATATTTCATAGGCTCACAGCACGTTTAAAAGTGGAAGAGGTCAGGGCTCAATGGGTTAAGCGGCTGCCTTTGGCTCAATAATGATCCCAGGATCCTGGGACCGAGTCCCACATTGGGCTCCCTGCTCAGCGGGGAGTCTGCTTCTCCCTCTGCCCCTCCCCCTGCTCGTGCCCTCCCTCTCTGTCTCAAAAATAAATAAATAAAATCTTTAAAAAGGTCAAAAACTTAAAAATAAAAGTGGAAGAGGTCTAAGATGTCAACTTATCCGCTCATTTAAAGCTGAACAGCTCAGATCCAATGAGTTCCTGAGACTTGGCCAAAATGGCTTTGCAGTTAGTAAAAACCAGAGTGGAATCCAGGCCCCACCTCCAGCCCATGAGATACAATGTTTCATAATTGAAACTGGTAGACACGGGTATTGAATGCATCACCCTCACTGCTATTATCATGTCTTATTTTTATTACTATTGTACGATGAACCCAAACTCCACAGAAATTGAACAATTGAAATTACATCCTAACTAGAGGAAGAAAAATGGATACCACATGATACACCAAAAAGAAAATAGAAATCCAGGATTCTCAAGGACAGTGACAAAGCAAACATATTTAGCAAACACATTATTTATTTCTTAATGACTTTATTAAGTGAAAAATTTAAAAATGTTATATTTGTATGTATGAGAGTGAAAAATGTAAACATGTTTATGTGGTTAATCTAATTGCACATAATGTCCTTGTTTTTATTTTTCAGAAGGGAAACCCAAACACAGGGACTCAAGGACACGTCAGAGGCACATACATATGTCCCCCCTTCTATCAAATCAGGCTGTTCAGGTGGTTTGCTGCTCTGTGGTAGGTACAAAATATGTAAATGACTAGAGTTGGAGTGGAGATCATCAAGACCCCTGTACAAATGATGAGAGGATCTTTTGCTATTATCAAGAGCTATTTTAAATACTAAATCAAAAGGATGCCAACTAGTGGCCTTGTTGATAGTCTCAGTAGAGAAGGAAATGATTAAATTAACATGAAGCTTCAAATCCATTCCCACTTGGTAGAGAGGTCTGAAATTGATCATCATGGTGGCATGTGAAAACTTGCACAGCTGCAGTTGGTGGTGCCTTTGTTTAATGGGTAAACCACGCTCACAAGTTGGTAGTGCAGTCTCTTATGTTTACTCAGTTATGCATCCAAAATTTAGACCAGTAAGTTAAATCACAAGATTTCAGGCTTTCTCTCTAATTCAGAGATGAGGATTGAATCATGTTGTATGCAAAGCCATCAGAAAGGTGGCAAGGTGCAGAAGGGGCACTGGAAAGAGAGGCAGGTCACTGGGATCCAATCTCATTGCATTCTCTCGATGTGTTCTGTGGTCCATGAAGAGTCCTTTGGCCGTATGGAATCTATTTCCTCATCTGTACAGTGTGCACAATGCAATCCTTGCTCACTGCAGAGCAGTGTGGTGACAATCAGATCTAAGAGTAACATTTACATTTGTATGATCTTCTGTAGTTCCTGCAATCCTTCCTGTCTGTTTTTTTTCTCATAAAAACACAATGAATGAAGAAAGGCAGTAATTTATTTTTCCCATTTCAGTGATAAAGAGGCTCAGAGGTTTTATATGCTCAAGGTAAGGAACTGAGAATAGAGACTCTTTGTCCCAGTCATTTAATAGTGCTCTCTGGCCAAATGTGCAGATGAACACCATGCGTGTGCAGGAGAAATATTAGGCCATGACAGCTCTGATTTTTAAAGTTGTTGACAATCTAAATAATAACACTGGGCATAATTTTAAGAGTACAGAATATAATTTATTTTTTTACTTATCCCAGTTTTGATTGAATAGATTACTGAATTTATGTTTCATTTTGCACATCCATAAGATGGGGATAAAAATATGTAGAAAATGAAAGGTTGTGGTAATTAAATGTATTAAATGATAAAAATGAGTAGAACTTAGCATATGTTAAGGATTCAATAAACACAATCATTTTTATTGTTGAAATTGGATAAAGAAAAATTAGATGTGTATAGGATGGGTTTTAACCCTGGGAAACCACTTGTAACTGAGTAAGTCCTTCAGGGTAGTTACGTGAAATTGCCTTTACATTCCTGTGACTGGTTGCTGTGAAAACAGCCCTATGGAGGGGATGGTAGTGACTCGCTGGACAATGTCCAGAGGTTAAGATCCTGATTGCATTTGTCACTGATTTTTTTTTTAAGATTTTATTTATTTAAGATAGAGAGAGCATGCGAGCATGAGCAGGGGGGAGGGGCAGAAGCAGGCTTCCTGCTGAGCAGGGAGTCCAATGCAGGGCTCAATTCCAGGACCCTGGGATCATGACCTGAGCTGAAGGCAGACGCTTAACCACCTGAGCCACCCAGGTGCCTCCTTGTCACTGATTTTTTAACCTGCTTACTTTCTTATCATAGCCTTGATTTCTTTGTATACAAAATAAGAACATGTGATTTTGTGTTTGCCTTATTTAAGATTTAGGCACTGATTCATTCACTTCTCAAACAAAGGTGCAATGTGCTAGAAGTTAAAGAGACAGAGATTAAAAAGAAATAATCCTTGACCTCATGGGTCTTAAAATCTAGTAAAGGAAGTTAAATCTGTAAAGTGAAAATTATAGGAAAGTGTTATATTATACAAGAATTGAGATGTGTGTAAAACATAACAGTGAAATAGAGGTAGGAGCAGAGATCCTTACTTTTTTTCAGTAAGACGGCGTGGAGATAACTTCAGGGTTGCTCTCTGAGGAAAGTGACATTTGAATTGAGTCTTAAAGAACGGGGATGTAAGGTAGGACTTACAGACAAAGGTGCCAGCATGTAAAACTTTACAAAGACTCGAGATGAAGAGGTACGCCGAGAGAGCTGACCTGTGGAGTTCCTGGCTGGTCTCTTCTGCCCAATGTCCGTCAGCTTGCTGTAACCCCAGACCTGTGAACTCCAGTGTGCCCACTCACCTGAGCTTTTGTGGGATGGGTTGTGGACATTTCAGGGTTTCCTGTGTTCCCCGGGAAGAGTGCACATAAGGACCACACACAGTCTCCAGCTTCAGTTGGGTGCCCCCTGTCCCCTGGCACAGACAGTACAGAAACTGAAGCAGGTGTGCAGGCAATAGGTCGGAGTTGCCTACGTATCCCCACCTGACAGCACTTCTCTGCTCTGGCTCCATGAGACCCGAAGTTTTGAACATCAGCATCTGAATCATTGATGCAGCTTGTCACAGGACATCAGCGTTCAGAGGAAGCAGCAGGTACATTTGGCACAATGTCATCTTCATGTCAGGACTGGAGGGAGGAGTAGGGGACCTAAATTTCATCTGGTCCCAGGAATTCAGCTGGATAGGGATCAAACCATTCTGAACACCTACAAACTCAAGAGGAGAGCGAAGAAAAGCATAGCAACAACTCTCTGAACAGAAAAGCTTCCACTTTATGGAAGGTAGGACATGCGGAGAAGTGAATCCGAGGCGATATTCGGGAGGACAGACAGCGGGGGAGGGGGCCTCCGTCGGCCGCTTCTGCCAAGTGATAGAGCCGCAGAGCACAAAATCAGAACTTTTAGAAGTCGGCTCTGCTGAGGGACGTCGCTCCAGTGGCTAAGCTGGGGGTGGAACGCTAGCTGGGACAGTGCGGTCTCAGGACCCTCGGGGTCACAGAAAGACCGGGGGTGCCTGACTGTGGCAGAGCTTCCAGGTATGGGAGCGGGGAAGCCGGCTGCAGAGACGGAGCTGAGGAGCGGGCTCTCAGCTCAGGGTTGCCATAAACTGTGATCCATGGCACAGTCAGGCCACTGCTCCTCCAGCAGGGACCCAAGAAGCGGCAGATCCGGGGAGACTCCCCTTCCTCCCCCGGGAGGAGTGGCACAGGAGCACACCGCAGGAATCTGCTGGGTTTGGAGACCACATGGGGTCGGGTGCCAGAGATAGAAACACTCGGTCACAGGCCAAGTGAGCATGGAGTGCGGCCGGAGGCCGGGGAGGCGGGAGTGATTGACTGCTTTTCTCTGGGGGCGCACTGAGGAGTGGGGTCCCGAGTTCTCGGCTCCTCCGGGGCGGAGATTGGGAGGCCTCCATTTTCACTCTCGTCCTCCAAAGCTGTAGGGAAAGCTTGCAGGGAACAAAAGCTCCCGAGAGCAAACCGGAGCAGATTACTTAGCCCGGACCAGGCAAGGGCGGGGCAATTCCGCCTCTGGCAAAGACATTTGGGAACCATGGCAACAGACCCCTCCCCCAGAAGATCAGCAAGAACAGCCAGCCAAGACCAAGTTTACCCATCAATGAGAACGGCAGAACTCCAGCACTAGGGGAATACTGCACATAGAATCCATGGCTTTTTTCCCATGATTCTTTAGTCTTTCAAAGTTAATTTTTTAAATTTTATTTTTTTCTTTTCCTATTTTTTTTGAATTTTTCTTTCCCCCTTTTTCAACCAACATCTTATCAATCTCCTTTTTAAAAATCTTTTTTAATTTTCATTTTTGGGATCATATTCTATCCCTTCATAGTAGTTAACCTTATTTTTGGTATATATATAAGTTGTTCTCTCTTTAAAATTTTGGGATACGGTTTCTTCTAACAGACCAAAATATACCCTAAATCTCTGGTGTATGGCTTTGTTCTAGTCTGCTGACTGATCACATTCTCTCCCTCACCTTTTTTTTTAATTCTTCTTCTTTCTTTTTTCAACTAACTTCTTATCGATTACTTTTATAGAATCTTTTATAATTTTCATCTTTACAGTCATATTACATCCCTTCATCATATTTACCGTTATTTTTGTACATATATAATTTTTTCTTTCTTTAAAATTTTGGGAGGCACTTTCTTCTTTTTTTTTTTTTTAATTTTTTTATTCTTATGTTAATCCCCATACATTACATCATTAGTTTTAGATGTAGTGTTCCATGATTCATTGTTTGTGCATAACACCCAGTGCTCCATGCAGAATGTGCCCTCCTCAATACCCACTACCAGGCTAACCCATCCTCCCACCCCCCTCCCCTCTAGAACCCTCAGTTTGTTTTTCAGAGTCCATTGTCTCTCATGATTCATCTACCCCTCCGATTTCCCCCCCTTCATTCTTCCCCTCCTGCTACCTTCTTCTTCTTCTTTTTTTTTTCTTATCATATATTGCATTATTTGTTTCAGGGGTACAGATCTGAGATTCAACAGTCTTGCACAATTCACAGTGCTTACCAGACACATACCCTTCCCAGTGTCTATCACCCAGTCAACCCATCCCTCCCACCCCACCCCCCACTCCAGCAACAGGAGGCACTTTCCTCTAACAGGCCAAAATATGCCCAAAATCTAGTGTGTGGCACTGATCTATGCACCAGTCTGATCACATTTGATTATATTCTGTTTTTTTTTTTTTAATCTTTTTCTTTTTTTTTTCTTTTTTCTTTCTTTCCCTTTTTTCTCCCCCGGTTTCAGGTCTCTTCTGATTTGTTTAGTATATATTTTTCTGGGGTCGTTGTTACCCTGTTAGCATTTTGTTCTCTCATTCATCTATTCTTCTCTGGATTAAATGACAAGATGGAAAAAATCACCTCAAAAAAAAGAACAAGAGGCAGTACCAATTGCCAGCGACCTAATCAATACTGACATTAGTACGATGTAGGAACTAGAATTCAGAATGATGATTATAAAGATACTAGCTGGGCTTGAAAAAAACATGGAAGTTATTAGAGAAATGCTTTCTGAGAAATAAAAGAGCTAAAATCTAACCAGTCGAAATCAAAAAGGCTATTAATGAGGTGCAATCAAAAATGGAGGCTCTAACTGCTAGGATAAATGAGGCAAAAGAGAGAATTAGTGATATGGAAGACCACATGAT